AGAAATGACATTTTAACTATATTGTCTTCTATTCTGTAAACATGGTATGTCTCTCTGTTTATTTAGGTCTTCTTTGATGTCATCATCATTTTATAGAAATCCTATGTTTGCTAGATTTTTATCTATGTATTTCTTTATAAAAATTACAAATGGAGTATCTTAAACTCATTTTTTAATTGTTCATTGATAGTACATAGATGATTAATTTTTGCATGTTGACCTTATATCTTGTGACCTTGCTAAACTCATTAGTTCTAAGAGGTTTTTTTGTTGATTCCCTGGGATATTCATTGGAATATTCCTTAGGACAATCATGTCATCTGTAAATAGAGACCATTTTATTTCTTCCTTTCTAATTTGAATGCCTTTTATTTCATTTTCTTGCTTGATTGCATTAGCAAGGACTTCCAGTATGATGTTGAATAGGAGTGTTGAGTGGACATCCACGACTTGTTCCTGATTTTTAACAGCATCCATTTGATCATCACCAAGTATGTTAGTTGTAGGTTTTTGGTAGATGCCCTTCATTAGGTTAAGTTTTTCTTTTATTTCTAAATTTTCTGAGTTTTTATTATGAGTGGATATTTAATTTTGTCAAATTTTTTTTCTGCATAAATTGACATGATTGTGTATTCTTTCTTTCTTGTTTTGTTTGGATAATATGTATCAATACATCTTCAAGTTTACTGACTCTTTGTCATCTCAATTCTGTTATTGAGTCCTTCCAAAGATTGCTTTGGTAAATTTTTTTGTTGTATTTTTTAGTTCGAAAATTTCCATTTGGTTCCTTTTTTAATATTATCTATTTTCCTGCTGAAAAACTTGACATTTCCATTCATTTCTGGAATAGAACTTTTTGAAATATTGTAGTAATCATCATCTCATAATTCCAACATAATCTTGGGGTTAGTGTCTGTTGTCTTTTTCCTTACAAAATGTTGAAATTTTCCTGACTTATGTATTTCATGTAAATCTGCATTGCATCCTGGGCATTTTGAATATTATGAGACTGCAAGTATTTAATTCTTCTCGAAAATGTTGATTTTTTTTTTCAGTAGGCTGTTCACCTGGTTAGACTGTGGTCATCAGTTCCAATTCACCTCCTGTAGTCTGTGGTTCTAATGACAGTTCAGTTTTCTAAGCATTTGCAGTGCTATTTTGATCTATCCCATATGGCCAGTGTCAGACCTGAGTAACGATCTACCCTGTTAAGAGTTAGACTATACATGTACTGATCAGGGATGAGCCCAGGATTGCATAAACAACTTTATGAAATCACTTTCTTGAGTTTCCTTTTCTCTGTCACCACCCTGCCACCTTCCAGCTCCCAGAAGCCACTTCCTCTTCCTGGTATTCTGGTCAGAAATCCAAGGCTTTAGGTTCTCCTCTCTGCTACACACCTCATGGATACATCCACCTCCAGGTCCAAGAAGCAGGAAGAAAGTGAGAGAAAACAATGGGAATTCTCCCAACCCTTTTTGATCCACAATTGGCCCACAGTTTCTCTGACCAGAGATAAGGGTTCCCTTCTCTCAGAGGTTGAGATGTCTGCTCAACCACCACTGTCTTCACTACAGGAATGACTGGGAGTGCCAGAATGGTGTTACTTCAAATTCTGACTTCCTTCCCAAATCTGCCTGCTATTACTTTCAGGTTCCCCATGCATTAGTTATATTTAGTGGGAGAGGTAAGGTGAAGTGTGCTTACTCCATTTAAAGTAGAACCAGTACCAACCCAAAGTTATTTTATTTCCAATTATTACATCTCTGGAGGATAAACTCTTCAAACAGGAACTTTCTGAGAATATAGAGGGAGAATTCTGATTGGAAGCTTCACGTTCATCACATTATCCAATCACTTTTTGCCTCAGTTTTTATTAAAAATTTAAACACGCAGAAAAGTTTGAAAGATTACTACTGAGCATCTCTATATCTACCACAAAGATTCAACAGTTGACTAATTTTTTCCATACTTATTTGAAAATATGCTACAGACATAATGACTTTTCAAACTTAAAAACTTCTGCATGCACCTCCTAAGAATAAGGACATTATCCTATATAACCTCTATACCATTATCACTTATAGCAAAATTAAACACACCACATTATCTAGTATGCATTCCAGATTCATATTTCCCCAAATATTCCCCAAACACCTTTTATAGCCACTTAATGTCAACTTGTCCCACAAGTTGTGAAACTGTTTGACAGCCAGATCTCATTATAAAGGCAAATCTTTCTTTTGCAATTGGTATCTGTAATCTTTAGACACCATGTAGTGTTCCTTAACATTTTTTTTTTCACCTCATGGGATTAACCATCCATTGATTTGTGAGACTTAATTATACTGAGGGTTATAAAATTGTGACTTTTTAAATCTATCATTCCATGCACATTTAAAAGATAGCATTCTTCAAATGATCTTATAAGGAGCCTTATTTTTTCTCTATTTTTTATCACTATGGGCCTTTTTGCCTTCTTAGTGTGTTATAACTAATTAGAGAGATTTTTTTAAATTTTCTATTTATTTATTTATTATTGAAGCAAAATTGATTATACATACTTATGGGGTACAAAGCTGACTATCAGTATTTGTGTACAATATGTGATGACCAAATTGGTATTATTAGCATGTTCATCATTACGAAATGTAATTATTCTTTGTGTCCATTACCCAATTACTCCCTAACTCCTTTCCACCTTTCCCACCTCTAGTAATCTTTTTGATTTTTAAATTGTCTGGTATTTGTGTACAATATGTGATGACCAAATTGGTATTATTAGCATGTTCATCATTACGAAATGCAATTATTCTTTGTGTCCATTACCCAATTACTCCCTAACTCCTTTCCACCTTTCCCACCTCTAGTAATCTTTTTGATTTTTAAATTGTCCGGTTTGGGGCCGGCCCGGTGGCGCACTGCTACAGTGCGCCGCTTGGGAAGCACAGCGGCGCTCCCGCCGAGGGTTCGGATCCCACGTACAGACCGGTTCCCTATCACTGGCTGAGCGAGGTGCAGGCGCGACACCGAGGGTTGCGATCCCGTTGCCGGTCCCGGTCCGGTACGGGAACGACACTGAGGGTTGCGATCCGTTGCCGGTCACGAAAAAAGACAAAAAGAAAAATAAAAATAAAAATAAAAATAAATTGTCCGGTTTGGCTGGTGGGAGCACCGTCAAGTTGGCTCCTGTGTCCTTTTCACAACAAGCCATTAGTCTCTGAATGCTATATTGCTTTTTTTGCTAAAAAGATATTCCAGGTACACTTTACACTTCTCCTGCTCCAAACACAGAATCAGCCATTTCTCCAAAGAGCTCTGGTTTCTTTTAGTGTGGAATGGCATTTAGAAAACAAAATTTAGGTAGTCAGCATGCTATTGGGTACAATGTTAAATATTGAGATCTGTTTAAAAGCCTCATTTTCCTTGTAAATATACTTAAATAGTACATAAAATGATACTTCTGATGAGCTAAAACAAATCAATTAAGAAATATTCTATGCTGAATGCTTGAGTTTAATTCTAAAACCCTTCTCAGACAGAAGAGTCTAGCTAACTGTATTAGAACAATTTTAAAAATTATAACAATTGTAAAAGTCAAATATAAAACTGGAAGAAATAAGCCCAGGGGAATTAAAATGTTAAAGTGATGAATAGAATGCTTAATGATAAAATATTCATATATAACTTTATACAAAAGAATTCCTAAAAGATGTGTAATAAAAAAAGGCAACCTTCTATGTGAAACCCCAAAAAGCAGTTACACCATCTGGACCTCAGCCAGGTTTGAGGATTTAAGTACAGTTATTGTGATAGCAGGTATAACTAGGGACTCATAACAAAAATGAGTCTGATTGTAAATAAGTTAATTATTATGATTAAAGTCAGGGGAAACACTCAAAGATAAAAAGATAACTGATTAAATTACTGCAATTGTGTCTAACCAGGTTACAAAACAAAAAGTACTCTTAGGACTTGAGGTTAGAAATTAACCAGTAATTTTCATAGAAGACCAGAGCTGAAGACCTAGATTCTAGTCTTGACTCTGCCCACCAACCTCAGATTCTTTACTGGTAAAAAAGAAAGGCTATAATCAATTAAACTAAAATCTCTCCTGGCTCTAATAAGCTGCCAGGTATATAGTCTATGATTCTGTTAAATATATATCTTGTACACAGATAAAATATTGGCATGACAGTCTTTCCATCTGCTTCATTTTACTCCACCTTTTATAATACTAAATAAGACTCTATTCAGTTATATAGAACCATATCAAATTAAGAAATAATACAGAAAGTAAAAGGAAGAGAGTCTCCCCTTGGGCAACATTTCAATTTAAAAAACTGAATTCAAAGTTAATAAAACTGCATTTTAATCATCAAGGGCTTCTGAAAAAAATATATCTTCTAAAACTGTGTATGTGCATATGTGTACACGTGTATATTATATATATAACTTGATGATGATGCAACTCATAAAAAGCCTTATTTTTCCATGTGAAGAGATAAATTTAAAGAATTTCTTTCTATCTTTAGCTTCTTCTTATGAAAAGGACAGCTTATGTTGACCTGCTATTGTAGAAAATAAGGCTCCCCACTTATTAACATCATTAACAACTCGATGACTATTTTTAAAAGAAAATTCACATATTGAAGCCTACTCTTAGAAAGGGTATATGGTCTAATGAGAGAAAACTTATATTCACCTATTTTTCATGCCATTTTTAAAAAGCTAGGCCTTTTACATTTTTTCTGTGATTTAAAAAAATTTACAGATTTTTAGAAACCTTAGAATTTATGGTTCTTCTTAAATTTGACAAGTCAGTGCTATTCATATTTTCACTGATCAGGTTTACCATTACTTAGTACTAACTAGCATATTTCCTACAGAAGAAAAAAGACTTAGCCTATTAACATGTTTATGTCCACTTACTATTATCCTGCTTATTCTCCAGTGAGAAGTCTTGGCTTATTTGAGAGATTAATTAAACCTCAGGGGGCTTATCTCCTCTCAGAAATCTCTGATACTGAGTAAGAGAGGAGCTGTAGATGAAAGGTTTCCCATATTCCTTCCATTTATAGAGTTTTTCTTTATTGTGAACTTTTTTGTGTCTGCAAAGGTTTGATCTGTAACTGTAGGCTTTCCCACATTCCATACATTTATAGAGTTTCTCTCCAGTATGGATTCTCTCATGTTCAGTTAGGAATGAATACTGGCTGAAAGCTTTTCCACACTGATTACACTGATAGGGCTTCTCTCCAGTATGAATTCTCTGATGCCTATAAAGGTTGGATTTGCAACCAAAGGCTTTCCCACATTCTCCACATGTATAAAGTTTTTCACCAGTATGAATTTTCCGATGCTCATTAAAGGATGAATACTGGTTGAAGGTTTTCCCACATTCATTACATTGGTAGGGTTTTTGTCCAGTATGTATTCGCTGATGTTCAATAAGGGTTGATATGCGTGTGAAAGTTCTCCCACATTCCAAACATTTACACAATTGTTCTCCAGTATGAAGTCTCTGATGCTCAGCTAGGGATGTAAACTGGCTGTAACCTTTCCCACATTCATTACATTTATAGGGTTTCTCACCTGTATGGATTCTTTGATGTCTATGAAGTTTTGCTCTACAATTGAAGGCCTTATCACATTCACCACACTTATAGAGTTTCTCTCCAGTATGAATTCTCTGATGTACAGTGAGGGTTGAACACTGGCTAAAGGCTTTACCACATTCTCTACATCGATAGGGTTTCTCTCCAGTATGCACTCGCAGATGTTTGATAAGGGTTGAACTGCTGCTAAATGCTTTCTCACATTCATTACATTTGTAAGGTTTCTCTCCAGTATGAATTCTCTGATGGGCAAGAAGGGATGATCTGTGGCTGAAGGTTTTCCCACACTCATTACACTTGTAGGGTTTCTCGCCAGTATGAATTCTCTGGTGTTCAATAAGGTAAATACTCTGGTTGAAGCTCTTCCCACATTCATTACAGATATGAGGTTTTTCTCCTAGGTAAGTTGGGAAGCATCTCATTAGATCAAAATTCTGCTTAAAATCTTTCCCCAAACTATAATACATATTGGGTATGTTTTCTATAGGAACACTCTGTTGTTTAACAAGAATTGTATTTATGAATAAGCCTTTCCCCAATTCAAGATTTGCATGGTTTTCACCTCCACTGATGGTTTTCTCATGTGAGGCTACCATCTGCCTAAGAGGTTTCTTCTCTTGCTCCTGTTCTATCCTGCTCTCAAATTCCACAGCTTCTCCAAAGTTGATGTCCCAGTGACCATACTTAATAGATTTTTTCTTTATTATTCCCTGAGATGTTTCTTCTATAAAAATGTCCTGTCTGGGAGGCAATGTTTCTATTTCAGGCCAAGTCTTGAAACCTGAAATGAATCAGTAGAATTAATGATTAATACCTCCTCTGCTGGAAGAGACAAACTGATGTATCACTGGGACAATAAAAGTGACAACAGTACATATAGAAGAGGTTTGATACCACCTGATCTCAAATATAAACTGAAATCTGGAGAAAAACAGGAGGGGATAATGGAAAGAGAGGTAAATAGGTTAATGAGTAGTATGGGAGAATACACCAGGCAAATTAACACTGAAAATGAAAAGATTGGGAGAAGTTAGACACAAAAGAACAGGCTGAGAAGGTATGAGGGTACAGAAAAAAATGTCAAATGACAAGCACAAATTGAATACTAAGGGATATTTCAGTTTATCATCATTTCCCACTCTGCATATAATAGGCAATGAAGCAGGTAACTTGTCTTTACCTTCTCCTTCCTACTCACATCGCTTTCATTATATTTTTTTCCTATGCTCTCTCTGAAACACTACACACAATAATTTTAAGATATTTGAATTTTTTTGAAGCAGGTAACTTGTCTTTACCTTCTCCTTCCTACTCACATCGCTTTCATTATATTTTTTCCTATGCTCTCTCTGAAACACTACACACAATAATTTTAAGATATTTGAATTTTTAAAAAAAATTTTGTGATTTCATATGTGATTGTGATTTCATATGTGATTGTGATTTCATATGTGATTGTGATTTCATATGTGATTGTGATTTCATACCATAGTCTGTGAAAGGGAACAACAATCTGTTAAAAAGAAGACACTTGGATTTTAAAAATTACAAAAGCCTTCAATCATGACTGTGTTGACGATATTTGATCTAAGTTCAAGATGCTGATTATAAAGAAGAGGAAAATATGGTGTAACGTACATGAACATCAGCCATGTACAACACTCTATCCCTTATTGGAGGAATAACAATTTTTTCATACCTTC